CTATCTACTCCCTACCTACCGCCGCTTCCCCGAGGTGACGCCCTTCCCTCGGAGGGCGGCGCCTAGCTTTCCAACCCTCACGAGGTGGGCGAGCTTCTGCTGGTCGCGCTCCGAGCTCGCCTGGCATCCAACGATGGCGATGGTGTGGAAGGCAGGCATGATACACGGCGAGCGTCACAAAAACGAAACGGACGGTAACGCAGAGGGTGGTGGTGGTTTGGAAGCAGCGAACATGTCAAGTTTGCAAGATGGCGTCACAACACGCAACGGGAAGACAAGGGGAGGGGAGGGGGGGGCGGGGGCGTACTCTTATGTTTTGCATGCCGTAGCGGTTAGGCCTTTGACCACGCGCCCTCGAGAGGACGGAGCAAGGGTTCCCACAGGGCCGATCACCGACGGCCAATCGTTCCTTCCTACTTTGCCAAAGGTGGCTCACAAAATGTCGTCCCTAGTCTTATCTATCCCACCGATATCACTTCACCGATATCACTTCCCGCCCTTTCAACACACTTCCTATGCCCCAGTACAGCTACCGTCTTCTCCTGGCTATCCCATGCCTCAAACGCCTCCCTGTATTTTCTTCTACCTTTCTCAGCTCAGTCATGTACACTTCCCTCCCCCTTCTTGTACAACCGACATTCCGCGACTACATGAACACGGTCTTCGCACTCGGAGTCGCAATCACATTTGAACTTGGCGTCTTCGTCGTCTACCGTCCTATGTCTTCGTCGACGTTCTCGAAGGCCCATGTCTCCGGTCCTGAATTTGACCTTAAGCTTTGTCCCTGCATTCATTGGTCCATGTAGGTAATCCTTGAATCCGATTCCTTCTTAAAAACATTCCGTGCACTTCTAGACCCTCCTTATCCTTGGCTTATTTTCTGAGATTCTGTTCTTCTCTCTGTGCAAAAGCAACAGATGTCTTCTCCTTACACCCTTTTAGACCCTCCGTATCCAGCGTATAGGGGGGGGGAGGGGCGTACTAATGTAAACGCAAGCCGCAGAAGTCTAAAGACCGTAGACCTCACATCCCTACAACGCCGGGACGGAGCGATATGCCCGGTTTTCGCCGGTGAGGGTAGATAGCAGCAGCGCGGAGGGTAAATATACCCTCGGGAGCCTCACAGACAGGAAGCGTTGCATATGACCCAAGTCAGAGTGAGAGAGAGAGAGAGACTAGGCTAGCGTACAGTAGAGAATGCAAGGGAAGGCGTGAGCAAGGAACGCTCGTGAAAACAAGCCAAGCGGCGGGACAACACGACACGCACTACGTGGTCACCGCGGCAAATCCCTGCTCTTCAGAATTGCGCCACGTGGTTCCAGGACTTTCCACGTGATACGAATGAATGAACGCCATCGACCAAAGGCAGAAAAACGAAGGCAAGGCAACGTTCTCATACCAACGCGAGCAACACGTGCCACCAAAAAAAAAAAAAAAACACGGCGATGACGACGACAGCAACACCAACAATACCACACGACACGCCACCATCCACGCCACAAACAGCAGTTGCCGTGCGTAAAGCTGCTGCTGCTAAATAGCTGCATGGCTCACCTGCGGCCGAAGCTGCCCGTCCTCCGTGTGTGTTCCCACCTCCGCGGCCTGGTTCAACAACACGCCCTTGTTGTAGGCATCCATGCTGTACCCCGTTCCCTCTTCATCGTCGTCAGACTCCCCGCCGCCGTAAAAGTCGGCGATGTTGGTTGCGGATGCCCGTTTTTTCGGCTGGACAGGGGGGGGTGGGGAGGTGGGGGGTGGGGGGGGGTTGGCTATTTGTTGTTCGTGGAATGATCACGAACCCTGCAACCGCGATGTTGGTCGCGGATGCCGGTTTTATCGGCTGACGGGGCCGGATGGGAGAGGTTTTCTTTGGGGGGGGGAAACTCTTTTGTTGGAAGGGGACTAGCGTGGTTTTGGACCATTGACCACGAGCCCTCGCGATGATATGCGGCATTATGCAGCGACGAATGCCGTACAAGAACCAAGCACACATCCATGGCTATCTGGAAACACCTGGGAGAGACGGTTAGGGTCTTAAATCTTATCTCCCCCCACATAGCAAAAGGCAAGCAAAATGAGCCACCAAAAACACACAACACCAACCAACATCACACCCGGGCCCCGCCCCCCAAAAATACGTCCAACCAACCAAATCAGCCCTGTGACACACCACCGCATGATTGATTGCTATACATGCCGCACACACACACCAATTCCCGGCAACAACACCAAAGACGTTGTTCTTCGTGACGACTGCGGGCTTGCGGAGGAGAGAAAAAGTGAATCTGTAACAGACTCTGTCCCCTGGACACACAGGCGGACACACAAACAAAAAAACGAAAAAGGCCGTGCACGACAACCACACACAGGCGCACAAAACCACCAAATAAAGCCGTTGCATGACAAAAGAACCAACACCAAAATCACGGACATAGATGACCACGGAGCGCGATCACCTTGCCACCGCCACCAGGCACGCACGCACCTTCTGCGCCTTGGGCTTGGGAAGCGAGGGGACATGGGCGGTCGTCTGCGGCTGCTTCTTGCCGGCTAGCCGTGTGTACGCCGCGACCCTGGCCTGAACGTCGTCTGCATCCTCGGCCTCGGCATCTGCAGCGCCCCCCCCGCCCCCCCCGCCGCCGGCCGCGCCGTAGCCTCCGTAGCCTACAGGTTCTGGCTCATCATAGCCCTCTGTGTCAGGGTTGTGGTGCCCACGATCGTCGTCGTTACCAACGAGCTCCGCCTGCAGTAATGGCGGTTGGAAATCAGGGTTACGAGGAGCCCATGCGTGCCAACGTGTGATCTTGGGGGCGAAGGCAGCAGGAGGGGGGGGGAAATTGGATTCCAGAAGGGCCGCCAAGGAGGGACGCGTGTGCATCGACACCACACGTGACAGGGGTGGGAATCCACAACACCTGATGATGTTTTCGTTTTTCTTTCTTGTATTTGCTGTTTAGAGTGTCAACAACGCAGGAAGCGGCAGCGGGTGCAAGCTTGTGAGCTTGTTCGGCAGTGCAATTCGATGGTGGAGGCGAAAGTGGAGACACCAATCCCCCCCCACACAGTGAATAGAGTGGAAGATGAAGACACCCATCCCCACCATAACTCGTTCATTGTTTCTGTATTTTCAACTTTCTCATCTACAGCCTGGTGGAGCAATCTACGATCCGGGGTTTAGCCAGCCGCAAGAAGTTTCCTGGGATTTTCTCCCCGGATAATTGATTCTGTTTCGTTTTTGGTCGCGGTAAGGGTATACAAGTAGCAACCATGGGTCCAACAAACCGCCCCATCCCCCCCCCAAAAAAGTCAAAAAGTATTTAATTTTATGATAGGGGCACGCAGTCTCTGCGGCTACGCCGTGAAAACAGCCTCCTTGTTGCGTGTCACTACCAGAACCGGGCGGAGTGTGGGATTGAAAAAACTCGTGCTGACAACAGCAGCGGCGTACAACCATTGTGTCACAAGACCTTTCGACCACGGCTCAGAGTAAAAGCGCACACCGGCCCTACAGCAGTACTGCTGTACATAGCACCAACGCCACGGAAACGGTCAACTTCAACGCACATACGCATACACACAGACGCACATACCGTAGGTGACATATTCATAAAATATCACTTCCCGTGGATCCATTTTCAAAGCTCGATTACTCCACGAGAGCACAGACGTTGGCGGTGCCGAAAATGGCGGTAGGCGTTGGAACATCTGTATCATCGACAGCTTTCCGTTAACGCAGCGTTTGATTGTTATACATGCTCTTCGTCGTGGAGTAACTGAGCTTTGAAAATCGGTCCAGGGGGTGTGCTCTCTTACGTCGTGCCACCTAGGGCGACAAGGTCGCCCCCCCTGGCTCGTCAGTCAACGAGAAACGAGCCATCCCACATAGGACTCAGTCACGGGGCGAACAAGCCGAGCACGCAGGCACACAAGGCCATGACTCCCTGCCCTCCCGTTTTCAGTCCTACACTGCTGTTGAGGGCAAAAGGCGGGGGTGCTTTTCTGGGTACGTGAGAGACAGCCCCGACCTCACAGAGAGACCAAGCTGCCCGCAGAGTCTGGCAACAGGAGCATGCGGAGGCCCCGTCTCGGACAAGGGATATCGCTACACTAGCGCTATACTGCTGCCGTGCATGATACACGCTGTTTGTATGTGTGTTTTCTTAACCTATTACAGCATCGACCGCGCTACCCGGCTGACCAATGAAAATCTTTGGTCCTGTACTGTAGCGGGATAAAAAAACACGATCGATTCATAAATCAAAGGGTACGGGCTCTTAACAACAGGGTGGGTGTGTGTGCGTGTGCGTGTTTAATATAAGCGTCCACCGCTCTACCCGGCTGACCAACACTCTCCCCCGCTTCGTATACTATGATGCTCAGGATGCGGATGGCTTTCCAGATTCTTTCTTGTCATGTGTGCTTAAAAGACAACTTCTTCTTGTGCGAATGGGGCTTCCGTTGCCCCACACCTCATCATGCAGCACTCTGATTGTTGTTTGTCTTTCTGGACATGTTCTTTCTTGCAGGAACTCGATTGCTTCTTGCCAGTGGTGGGAATGCCTTTTCTTGTGGTGACACGGTTTTCTCATCCACTTCGAGGACCGTTGCCCGCAGACTCTGAAACCACCTGGGTCTTCACCTAATTTGTACCGAACTTTGGGGAATCTTTCGATCGCAGAAACTAGTCCCTTCACCCCCCTCGGGAGCAGAAGCACGGAGGTGTTGACAGCACCACCTGGGGGCAATGCCATTTTTGGACGTGTCAACAAGAAAAACCCTGTTGCCAAACTCTTTGAGGGGGAAGGCATCACGAGAAGATTTGGAACCGGTTTGTAGGGAATCCCATTCTTTCAGCACACGTCAGGCTTGCAGCGACCAAAAAACATGGTAAGTTTTCATCGGAAACTGTTTGCGACGTTGTTCGGGCATCTCTTTCGCCTTTGCTCGAGACACGCGAATACTCGAGGGTTTCGTCGACAGAGAGCAAGATTGGAGGGGGGGGTTTTAGACGGAAAGCAGAGAAAAAAAGCAACACACACACAACAACGACGAAGATGTTCTAGAGAAAGCAAACGTGCGTGGAAGTGTGACGAGCATGCTCGGTGGTGCCCAAAAGGTCGCCACAACGCTATGACCAGCAGCACCAATCGCACAAGAGCGATTTCATGCAATACCCACGCAACGACCAACCAAAGAAAGAACAGCCTCGCTCACCTGCACAACCGGAAGCGCCGGCTGCACCCCGAAACCACCACCACCACCACCACCTCTGCCCCCGCCCCCGCTAAATCCGCCGCCGCTACCGCCGCTGGTCCCTCCGAGGTTCGAGCCTCCGTTTGCTGCCGCCACCAGCCGTCCCCCTACTGCCGCTACAACCGCCGCCCCGCCCCCGCTATCCCAGCCCTCGTCCTCGTCCTCATCGCTCTCCAAGCCATCGCTTTCGGTAGAGTGGCCTCCGCCGCCGCCGCTACCGTTGGGAGGCTACGGGGGTGGTTGTTTTTAAGTTTTTTTTTTGCGAATGGTTTGAGAGATGACGTGGACGAACACAGCAAGAGAGCGAGGGGGGGAGACGGAGAGGGAGAGGGAGAGGGAGGGAGGGAGGGAGGGAGCGAGGGAGAGGGAAAGAGACGAACGGGGGGCAGTCAGAGGTCTTGAGGTCGAAGTTGGCGGCAGCAGATAGAACGCCGTGATCATGTCTGTTGTTCAGTACGTGCTGGCTCTCCTATTGACGGCGACAGCGCTACACCCAAACTAGGCAGGAAACAAAAAAAATACAGCCCCGAACACAGCTTCCGGTGTGACAAGCTTGCGGAGCTTTCTTTCCGACCCATCCTCGCTGCAAGCTTTGGAGGCAAGCAATCGTGTTGCACAGAGCCCTCCGGGCAATGTCCGCGGCAAGCTTTCCGAACAACCCCTTCTTTTGCAAGCCTTCCAGTCCACCCTGTCTGGTTCCACGTCCGAAGCCACTCGTGAACTCTCCGAAGGACACGTCCTCGAAACCAAGCCGGTGGCGTTTTAAAACATGCACATATGCTGTGTTCATCCCTTTCGCCTATACCCCGTTCTAGTCTCTTCCTCTCTCCTCCTCATTGGTGGCCTGATCGAACGACTGAACGACCACAACGATCGTCACAAACAAGCGGGGCGGTGTTCGCTTCTGCGTCTGTGCCGCCGTCACCTCCTAACCCTCCCTCTTTCTCAACATCGTTCCAAATATATAACGGCCGCAGGCCCAATATGCGGCAATCGCGATAAACGGGTCGAACACACTTTCTCGCCCCCCCCCCGCCCCCCCCCCCTCACCTCGACACGCTGTACCGATGGCAAGCCTCTCGCACCGAGCTTCAAGTCTGTAAGCGGTTTCGCCGGCGACGGCAACGGTTCCATCGGAGGGGAGGATTCCGGGGATGCGGCCGATTTGTCCCCCTCCTCCGCCTCCACAGGGCTCTGTGAGAAAAAAAAAACAAAAACAGGCATCATTCAGGAGGAGGGGTGGGTAGAAGGCCTCAGGGAGAGGGACCCCTTCTGTGTGACCACGGGTTAAATACGCGGCACGAAGGCTGTAAGCGCTGATTTGAAATGACAAACAATGATATTTAACACCCAACCAAAGACGCAAGCCTCATTCCTGCCCTTGTTCTTGGTATCTCACAGCTGCTTGAAAAAACACATCAGAACACGAAAAGAAAGCGTATTTTTCTCCCACTCACTACAAGTAACCCCAGCCTATCCCCTTCGATGGTAGATATATGTCGCACCTCTCTTTGATTGTATGCATACATGCCATTCACCCAAAAAATACAGACGACGGTAGAGGGTGGTCGGTGAGGCGCTATGCACACATGGTTCTCCCAAAAGTCGATGCCAAGATGACTCATCACCCATAAACGAACAAGACCATGCCCGATAACCTCACAATCCAACACCTACCAAAATGAACCACTCTCTGGTTAACGAGGCCTAACAAAACAATTCCTACCCCGTTTCGTAAAACAGAACAGAACAACAGACCCAGCAGGAATCAGGGCGCGGTGCTTTGATATGAAATAAAAAGCCACGACTTACACCCCGTAGACACAATCTGGCGATACCTCACAGCGACATCCACAAATGTGCCGCCGTGTATTTCTTCTACACAGCAGTGGCCACGCACGGAAAAAAAAAAAATGCCCTCCCGCAATGCACTTGTCTCGCGGGGGGGCGGGTCTCTATCATACACCGAACCCCCCCCCCCCCCCCCCCCCCATGGGCTCACCCCT